TAGAGCAAAGAAACAGATTTTTACCTCATTTTTTTCTAGAGTTAATATAACTGACTACTTTGGGGGGGGGGGGGTGCGGGTACATTTTCACAGTCCTAATTAGTTGAATCTATATTGTTGTTTGGTTTGGTTTGGTTTTTGACAGCTGAAGAGAGAAGGTGAGGGTTAGGTAGCCGTACAGGGGGTCTTCCTCCTTTCCACTGACCTTCCACTTTACTAATCATGGTGTCCTTCCCCAGAGACTGCTCCCTGTGGACCATATGTAACTGCCTAAGGGATGAAGTCTTGTCCTTGTTGCTTCCAAGCAGCATCCCAGCTGAACTTCATCCAAAACATGTGTTTGTTCTTCCAGCGTCCCACTGCATATTCAATAGCCTTCACAAATATCATAATTCAAATACCAGCGGCATAGCTTCCAGCGTCACAGCAACCCCCAAGCCATCACAGGACAACAAACAGAGGGACAAGTGGTGATGTGAGAAAGCATTACTTGATTAATTAGCAAGAAACGCACTGCGGGTTGCTCACTCTCACTCACAACCCCCCACCTCTGCATCAGACGCAAAGGGAGGTGGGAGTAGTGGTGCCTCAGAGGTACAGTCCTCACCTTCCTGGTGAGAGAACAAAGAAGAATCTCTGCGTTGGGATTGTGGTGCTGGCAAAGGGTATCGAAAGTACCACGGACTACCTAAAGAACGAACAGATCTCTTAGCAGCAGTACAGCCAGAATGCTCCTCGGAGGCAAGAATGGCTACACTTCATCTCACGTACTTTGGACATGTTCTCAGGAGATACCAGTCCCCAGAAAAGGTCATCAGCAGCAAATGTACAAATGTGCTTGATGCAATGGATGGATGGATGGATGGATGGATGGATGGATGGATGGATGGATGGATGGTGATAAGAGTTGTATCAGCTCCAAACAAAATGTTTTTGTTTTTTTTTAAATAAAAGAAACGGTCATCATACTTGGCAAAGCAGAAGGGCAGTGAACAAGAGGAAGTCCCCTGATGAAATGGATTGACACGGTGGCTGTAACCGTGACCTCAAACTTAAGAACAATGCAGAGAATGGCACAGGACTGGGCGGCGCATCATCCTGGTGGATGTTGGGTCCATGGGAGTCAGAAGGTGCCCAACAGCCACCGAAACAGGATGTCAGAGACCCAGGTCCAGGGCACCTCCTGCTCAGCCACCACTGAGTTCTTCTTTTTTAATCATTTTATTGGGGGCTTGTACAACTCTTATCACCATCCATCCATTCATCTATCCATTGTGTCAAGCACATGTGTACATTTGTTGCCGTTATTATTTTCAAAACATTTGCCTTTGACTTGAGCCCATGGTATGAACTTCATTTTCCCCTCCCACCCCCACCCTCCCTCCCTCCCTCATGAACCCTTGATAATTTATAAATTATTATTTTTTCATGCCTTACACTAACCAGTGTCTCCTTTCACCCACTTTGCTGTGGCCCATCCCCCTGGGAGGGGGTTATAGGTAGATCATTATGATTGGTTCCCCTTTTCTCCCCCACCTTTCCCTTACCCTCCTGGTATGGCTACTCTCATTATTGGTCCCGAGGGGGTTACCTGTCCTGGATTCCCTGTGTTTCCAGCTCTTATCTGTACCCGTGTACATGCTCTGGTCTACCTGGATTTGTAAGGTAGAATTGGGGTCATGATAGTGGTGGGGAGGAAGCATTAAAGAACTAGAGGAAAGTTGTATGTTTCTTCGTTGCTATACTGTACCCTGACTGGCTCGTCTGAGTTCTGGCCATCTCTTTCCATAAAGTACCCGATCAAAGTCCTAGTGATCACAGGTCAAAAACAAAACCCAGCATGGGGATAGCAGCATTTCATTCCTTTGTATGCAGGGCCCAGGGGTCCAGTCAATTGGACCAGCAAGAGCAGCAATGATGTGCTGGCAGTGTGCTCAGGGACCATACATGACGCGTCTTAATACCTGACAAAAGGCCTGATCATAATCGGGAGGTGAAGAGGGCTGGAGTCCCATGTGACCCTGTCTTCAAGCCTACTTATGAGAGTCAGGCAGAGCCACAGCTTCTTCTTCTTTTAAATCATTTTATTGGTGGCTCATAAAACTTATCAAAATCCATACATCCAACCACTGTATCAAGCACATTTGTAGTTTTGTTGCCCTCATCATAGAATACATCTTTTTTTTTTCAAGCACATTTGTACATTTGTTGCCATCATCATTTTCAAAACATTTGCTTTCTACTTGAGCCCTTGGTATCAGCTCCTCATTTTTCTCCCTCCCTCCCCACTCCCCTTTCCCTCATAAGCCCTTGATAATTTATAAATTATTATTATTTTGTCATGTCTTACACTGTCCGACGTCTCCTTTCACCAATTTTTCTGTTGTCCGTCCCCCAAAGAGGGAGTTATATGTAGATCCTTGTAATCAGTTCCCTCTTTGCACCCCACTTTCCCTCCACCCACCGGGTATCACCACTCTCACCATTGGTCCTAAAGGGTTCATCTGTCCCAGATACCCTGTGTTTCCAGTTCCTATCTGTACCAGTGTACATCCTCTGGTCTAGCCAGATTTGTAAGGTAGAATTGGGATCATGATAGTGGAGGGGGGGCGGCATTTAAGAACTACAGGAAAGTTGTATTTTTCATCGTTGCTACACTGAACCCTGACTGGCTCTTCTCCTCCCTGCGACCCTTCTGTAAGGGGATGTCCAGTTGCCTACAGATGGGCTTTGGTTCCCCACTCTGCACTCCCCCCTCATTCACAATGATATGATTTTTTATTCTTTGATGCCTATTACCTGAACCCTTCAATACCTCATGATCACACAGGCTTGTGTGCTTCTTCCATGTGGGTTTTGTTGCTTCTGAGCTAGATGGCCGCTTGTTTACCTTCAAGCCTTTAAGACCCCAGACGCTATATCTTTTGGTAGCCGGGCACCATCAGCTTTCTTCACCACATTTGCCTATGTTCCCATTTGTCTTCAGTGGTTGTGTCGAGAAGGTGAGCATCATAGAATTCCAATTTAATAGAAGAAAGTATTCTTGTGTTGAGGGAGTACTTGAGTGGAGGCCCAATGTCCTTCTGCTACCTTAATACTAAACCTATAAATGTAGGCTCATAGATCTATTTCCCCATCATCATATATAAACATATTTACATATGTACATGCCTGTATTTAGAACTCCATAAATGCCCTTTGCCTCCCTGTTCTTTCCCCTACTTCCTTTTACTTTCCTTTTCTCCCACTATCATGCTCAGCCTTCATTTGGGGTCAGTCATTCCTCTTGGTTATATTTCCCTCGATCAAGCCCTACCCAGCCTCTTACACTCTTCTCACCACTGATTTTGGATCACTTGTTATCCCTTTGTCCCTGGGTTTGTTAACACGACTTCCTTTCTCCCACCTCCCCCTCTCCCATACCCCCCTGGAACTGTTGTTTTCTCCTCCAGATTGTTTATCCCACCTATCTTATCTAGGTAGACCTGCAGAGATAATAATATGCACAAAACAAGACAGAGCAAAACAAAGCAACAAAAGAAAACAAACAACAACCAAAAGAGCCAATGCCAAAACAGAGAAAAGCCTGTAAATAGTTTCAAAGTCTGCTAGTTGACCTTTAGGAGTGTTTTCTTGGTTGAGTCTGATGGAGTGCCATGCCCTGGCCCCAAAGCCTATTTTTGGTATTCCTTGGGGACTTCCTTGCTCTGCTCCCCTTGCTGTTCTGTTGCACGCCCAAGCCACAGCTTCTTGGAGCCTGTACTTAGTCTGTGGTTGATGAGTTAGTGGTTTGAAGCACACACATGATGAGGTTAAAAAGGCCTGCTGTTTGGTTCCACTTCATGCATGCACTGGGGTATTCCAGACAATGCATTCACCACGTCTCTGCCATCAGGGTGTGGCTGGAGACACGCTCACTCTGTAATACACCTGTCTCAGTCTCGTCAAAAAGAGAGGGTCGATCAAAACCACAGCTTCTGAAGAGACCTGCTGAGGAGATGCTCTCAGGAGATCTGCTGAAAGATCCACGGAAGAGATCTGATGAGGAGATCTGATGAAGCCATGCAGGACAGGATCTAATTCCCATTCAATCCAAAGTAGAGAGGGCAGCTCAGGAGGTCATGGCAATTTCTCTGGGGGATCTTCAAGGAGTAATCTTGATAAATGTGCACCAGGTGATCACGAGGGCTTTATGAGGAAGATGTTGTTGTCGTTGTGCCGTTGAATCAGAGACCCTGTGTACAACAGAATAAGTCACTGCCCGCTCCTGCGCCGTCCTCGCCATTGCTCCTGTGCCCGCGCCCACGGATGCAGCCACTGTGTCCATCCGGCTTGTCAAGGCCTTCCTCTCTTTTGATGCCCTGCCACTTTACCAAGCATGGTATCCTTCTCCGGGGACTGGTCTCTCTCGACATGTCCAAAGGATGTAAGATGAAGTCTTGCCATAAAACCATATGCATCTCTACAAAAATGTCTTTAGAAAATTGGGAACCGCACAGATGAGAAAAAAGACCAGGAAAATTGTGCCCAGGAGAACTTTGTTTCTCACCATCACCATGTGCCTGCTCATTGGGCAGCCTCTCCCCACCCACCCATACTTCCTCGATCTTGCCCTGCCTGTATCCTTTTGTTCCCCAAATGCAAGGCATGTTTTAACGGGACCATCATGGGAGTCCAGTGAGGGGATTAAGTTACCACACTGACACGGTGGAACTGAGAGCACAGGGTTCGTCAGCAAAGGACGAAGGGGATGTTGGCAGACCTTCAGGAGCCTGCGGCCCTGTAGGGAATCCACGTTGAGAAACCATCGCTTCCCATCTCTGTATTTTTTTTCCAGTAAAGATCTCCATGATTTATCAGGTGTACTTTCTGACTTCCCACCCTGTCTGCAATGTCCCACCCACCACACCAGTGATGACCCTCGTCACTACATCAGCACTGAGTCATTATCAACACACTGGGCAGGGACGTTTTTCTAATCCATTCTTCTCTCCCAACAGCTGGCTGTCCCAACTCCCTGATTAAAGAGCTGCATCACTTCAGGGTGCTCGGAGAAGAGCAGGTGAGTCACCATCTCCAAGGCCTTGCTGGCGGAGTGTCACAAAAGCGAGTCGCTAATGAGACAGCTGGGGTTCCCTCCAGGGGAGCAGAGTATGTCTTCTGAAATGGGGGTGGGGGGGTGAGAGAAAGACACACTGGAGAGGTGGGAGAGGACACTTTTTTCCTTCTTCTATCCATCAGACCTGACAGGTTATTAATTGGTACATCTGCTACCTGCCAGAGTTTTGCATCTCAAAACTCCTGCGGTAAACAGGCTCTGAACAGTGGCAGGTCAGCAGACAAATAAAGGTTGCCGTGAGTGATGCCTGAGGGAGCGGCCGTCACAGACATCTCAGGCTTGATGCCTGTGGGTGGGGGCCACACCTTCCCCTACCTCTGTTCACACCTGATGCTTGCACTCCGTGTGTGTCCCTAGCACGTCCCATGAGAATACGGACACATGACTGATTTGCAGAGGACCGGTGTACAAATCTATTTTGTGTGTACTATAGAAAGTAGAGTGATTAGATGCCGTGTTGTACTCAGTGAGACATGTCAGTTTTTAAATAGATGTGCTAAGTAAATAATCCAGGGTGCTAAGGCACTATACACACACCCTGAATATATATTTTGTTTGCTGAAAAAGAAGTTTCTTGATCCTTACATGGAATGATAGGCTCTATGTTAATATGTTAAATTTTGGCGTCACGTTCTCCTTAAAGCACTGGCGCATGCCAATGAGTTGAGGACTTCTGAGTCCCCCTCTTGATGACCTCCACTGTGGTCAGAGCACATACACACAGAGGGATGGGGTTTGGTCAGTGACTGTTTGGTTGGTGTGGTTTTTTTTGTTTTGTTTTACTTATTTATTTTCCTTTTTTTTTTTTCAGTTGGTGTTTCATGTTTGTTTAGATGTTTGCATGTGACAAAGTCAGATCCCCCCCAAAAGCCCAAACTCATTGCCATTAAGTCAACACTGAGTCATCGTGACCCCCATCTCCCACCTTGTGGGTTTCTGAGACTATAACTATTTATGACAGTAGAAAGCCCCATCTTTCTCCCAACAAGTAGCTAGTAGTTCAGCGCTACAGCACCAGGGCTCCCTTGGCAAAGCAAGAATCTCCTGTTCATCTAAGATTAAAAGCATGAAAGGGGTGTATAAGGAAGTGAAAAAGTGTCCACATCTTTGAATTAACACATTGTAATAGGCCTCCTATCGTTTAGATGGTGAGTGTCTAGAATATCAGGCAAAAATGTTCATTCAAATACAAGTGTGACTCAACTATCCTCCATGGCCAGTAAGAGTCAAGAACAGAAAACCTCAAATACACATTTTTAAAGTAAAAATATGCATACCATGGCCACATTTGGGAAAAATCCCAAGAGGCTTCTTCAAGCAAGAATCATAGATCATTCCCCTGACATTCCCCTATGGATCCTAGAGCCATCTCTGGTAACTTGTACCAATGTTTGCAAATTGTTTCCGTAGTTGTTTTAGTGCCATTGGGTGATTAGTAGAGAAAGAAGCCAGCTGTCATCATCTCTGTAGATTTGCATAAGATCCAGGCCACTTTGCGTTCTTGCAGGAATTCAATCAAGTCATCATCAAAACCCATGTGAGTGTGATGAGTTGTGTTACATAGCGCAGAGTGCTTCACCAAGATGCCAGTCTTTCTGTCCTGAGGAACCACACTTCCTCCCATCCACCCACTCTGTCACTCAGCTGACGCCTATGGAGCCCCACAGGCCTTAGGCTGCGTTCTCTAGAAAAGCAAAGCCAGTAAAACTTATATATGAATATAGAGAGATGAGCTCATGTCAAGAAAACGGCTCGCACAATTGTAGAAGCAGGCAAATCCAGGCCCAGGCAGATTCTAAGTGCGTGGTTCTGAAGGCTTCCCCTGGTGCGAGTAGCTCCAGGCACTGAGGATCTCACAGTCAGCAGGAAGGCTGCGGACTGGTGGATGCAGAGGTGAACAGACCCACAGTAGGCAAGTCTGATGACTCCCAGGATCAGTAGGCACTATAGCAAGCCTTGGCTCAAGTCCAAAGAACTGAAAGTCAATGAGCCAGATCCAAGTTCCAGACCCAGTGAAAAGCAATGCAAGCTTTTCCACAGTAACCACGTATATTGGGAGTAGACCACACGACCCAAAGAAACTTCCTTTCCATTGTGTCAGGGCTGGGACCTGAGTAAGAGTGTTGCATTCCATCCTAATCTAATCTAATCCCAATTGGCTGCTCATATCAGACTCTATTATGCAGTGCATCACATTGTGTGAGGTCATATCACGGGGGGGGGG